ATATTGGAATTCTTTTTTTGTGAGGCCTAGTGAAAATCATTGCTTCATGGCAGCTGCTTGAAAACTTCTTTTACTGATATTTCAGTTTAAAGATGATTTGTAGAGTTTATTCTAGTATTTTTTCCTTTTTTATTTGTTCTTTTAAAGACTATTGAATAGAAAAGTCTTATATTTAAAATGCAGAGAATTAATTTGTTACTCAAATGTCAATTTATTTTTCTACCAGAAAGCTTTCTGCTTCTAAGATGTTTAGAAATAGCTTTAGTAATTATTGTTAGTAAGATCCTCCTAAAAATCAACTTTTCCCTTGTTTTTTTATGTTAATACAATTAACTTTCTGTCGTTATGCTGTGTTTTTAGTTCTGTCCTATCTAGACAGGATTTAGACTTCTGAAGGATGTCTTTACCTCTAATAGCACCTTTAATCTTCTGAATAATCATACCTGGCATTAATCCATTGGTTCCTAGTATGCATTTACTGTTAGTCTCTAACATGACCTCACATTAGTCTTCATACTGTCCATAATTATTTGATCCTTTTATCTGCTCCTTTTAATTTCTCTTTGACAGACCACTTCTTTTTTTTTCCTTTCTTTTTTTTTTTTTTTTAGTGTTTGTTGTGTGCTTTGTATTCTAAAGTGAGAAATTACTATCATTTTTTTCCTTTTCTCTGGAATAAGAAGTTTAAATACATTATTGTCAGTATTACATATCTTGTGTCAGGACTCAGGACTCTTTAAATTAGGGGGGAAAACCCTCCAAACCCTCATAAAACACAAAAAACTTTGCCAGCTGTAGTATTCTGACTCAATTAATTCAGTACATATTTTATCTAATGGTCCACACTCCCCACTCTTGCATCAGTTATAATAAGCATATTAAAGAAAAAGGAAAATACTTAATAATATTTTTTTGGCTCATAGGCCATGAAAAGGTCTTCATGCTTTGTCAGGTGCTAGTAATTGTGAAATAGCTGGTAAGATGTGCATTTACCACTGGATGGTCTCATTAAAGAGAACAGGTTAGAACTTGTTGACTGCAGTAATAACAGTAAGCAAACTGGTTTTTGCTAAGAATAAAAGATTTCTTACTGATATCTGTTCATTACAAGAATAACAAAGGCAATGCAGAGACTTGCAAAGCTCTATATCCCTTTGAAATAGGCAGTTGTATTATGTGCTGTATAAAAACACAGGAAGTCTATGTTCTTTAGTGTGAAAGACTGTTTTGTATCTGTAACAGTGTTAAATATAAAAATATAGAGTGGAAAATTGCTGAAGAACTTCTAACTGGTAGTACAAAAGATGTTAATTTGAAAATGCATTTCCAAGAAAACAATTTATAAGTTTTATGGAAGGGGAAATTATTTTTTAGTGTTTGAGAAAGCTGATTATTTCACTCAACCATGTTTCAATGCTACATTCTTATTAAAAAATAAAGAGCTATTTCAGAGCATTTTCCTACTGTATTTTGTCCAGAGCTAGAGCAGATTTGGGGGAATGAATGCTTTAAGCTTCTTTCAGTTGGCCATTTCCCTCTGTAATCTTACTACTTTATAGAATCTTTTGAAAATTATGGTTTTTGCAGTTCTTCTGTGGGTACTAAATTGATGTTAGAAATTGTATGTGCATGATTAAGGCTAGCAGTTTGTCCTCTAGAATTCTCCTTTCTTTGTATAACCTATGAGATGGAAAACAGAGCTCAGGATGTGATCAGCTGGCTCACAAACTTTTTTTTGACTGTCTACAAAGTATCCCCAGACTTTTTCATACGGAGTTGCCCCATAGTCTGTCTTCAACCTTTGCCAATGCATGAGTTTGACCCCAGGTGCAAGACTTGGCATTTGTTTGACATTCCTGTCAGCCTATTCTTTCTGGTTGTTGAGCTCCCTCTGAATGGAAACCCTACACTCAAGTCAGCCATATCCCCATCCCACCTATTTGGTGTGTCAGCAAACTAGCTGAAAGTGTATTCTGTTCCATTGTCCAGGGTGTAGAATTTGTGTTTGTAGAGATCAAGCCATGAGGATTAGCATCTGTAACAATGTGATAGGTAAACTATGAGTGGTGCCAGTTAGTCTGTGAAGTACTGACAACTACTTTTTGAGCATGGAAATCCACACAATTTCCCACCCATTCTGCAGTCTACACATCCCTCCAATTATGCCACAAAAATACTGTGAGACTGCATGGGGAAGCTTGCAAACTTCAAGCTAAACAACATCCCTGGTACTTTTCCTTGTGCACTGAACCAGTTGTCTCACTGCAGAGGGGAAATTCATCAGGCATGATTTGTCATTTGCAAATCTCTGTTGGCTCTTCCCAGTCACCTTGCTGTTGTTCTTGGGCTCGGAAGGGGCTTCCATGAGGACTGGTTCTGTAATTTGTTTGGGGACTGAGGTGTGATCATTCTGTTCTTCCCCAGGTGTTTCTTTTTCACCTTTCTGAAGATTACTGTGTACATTTACCTTTTTCCAGTACCATCTACCACGACTCTTCAGATGTGATAGGGAGAGACCTCTAGTCCCACATAATGTGTGCATCCCAACAAGATCCATATGCTAGCTTAATTCAACTTTGCTTAAGTGAGCCTTAAGTTTGGTCCTTCTTGCAGGTATACTTCTGTCCTCCAAGCTCTACTGGTAGGCACTGCAGCCTGAGAAGGCCAAGGGCAGACCTTGCTGGTAATGACTAGCAAGGTACTGAGTGTCTTAGCCTCTTTCATGGTCTTTCTTCTCTTTCAGCAGCAGACCTATATCGTCCTTGCTTATAGGTAGATATCCAGTATGCCCACAGAATCCCTTCTTTTTGTTTTTTGCATCTCTTGCTAGTTTAAGCTTCAGCTGTGGTTTTCCTAATTCTATCCCTGTATGCCTGGAAAGGGTTTACCCTGGGGTCCTCCTGGGTAACTTTTGTCAGGTTTCACCTTCTGTAAACTTCCTTTTTGTTTTATGAGCTTTGTTTGAAGTTTCCCATTTAGGCAAAGAGCAGATCAAATGGACTCTTCTCATCCTCTGTGGAGGTTTTCCTTGAAGATCCAACAGCTCTCTTTGACACCTTTGTCATTCATTAACATCTCTCATGAAATCCAGCCTGAATAAACTGAAGTCCATTTTCCTGTAATCCAGGCTTTTTCTTGTGTTACTTGCCTTCCTCACTTCCATTAGAATCTTAAGCTTCATTGTCTTGTGGTTGCTGAAGCCAGGGGAGTGATTGACTTCCATATCCCTGATTAGACTGGGGTTTTTTAAAATCTATGAGTAGAAAATGCAGTAAGGCAACAGTCCTAGTCAGTTTGTTCAGCATTTGCCCTTAGTACATTCAAAATCTGCATTGCTTGTGCTGTGTCGCTTTTCCAGCAGATGAACTGGTAGTTCTATTTCACCATGAGGATCAAGGGTGAGTGTGTGAAAGCTTCCCTTGTTGCCCAGTCCTCACACCTCTAGCACCTCAAGAGCTTGGTTTAGTCAGGTTTAGAAGATAGTCTGCTCGTGATTTCCAATTTTCTTTTGGTATGTAGAAGCAGTAATTAAATACAAATGTAATTTATCTGAGGTTGAGTGTGTTTGCCATCCAAAGGCAAAGGATTTATTTGACATAATGTCAGGTAAATGTTTGTTATTGTTTCCATCTATTTTGGCACATGAATGGATGATTTAAATGTTGTCATTTCTGCCTCAGTCTACAATTTAACTTGACTTAAATAATCAGTGTATATCTACTCATTTGTTCTGCATAGAGGGAGATACTTGTGTTGAGCTGTTTGCATTTCCTATTTTGCATATCCTAGAACAAGATTTAAAAAATTTCAGTGCTACACTCCAATGAAAATGATCTATAACTGATGGTAGGTGCAGTGCAGGAAACAAAAGTCTGATCTAATGGACTGTGTTTAAAAGCAATAGCTAATGTTTTGGCTAGTTTGTTAGCCAACGTTGTGGTTTAACCCCAGCCAGCAGTCAAAAACCACGTGCTGCTCACACGCTCCTCCACCAGCAGGATGGGGGAGAGAATCAGAAGGGTAAAAGCTAGAAAAGCTCATGGGTTGACATAAAGACAGTTTAACAGAGACAGCAAAAGCTGCACACACAAGCAAAGCGAAACAAGGAATTAATTCGCTGCTTCCCACAAGCAGGAGGTGTTCAGCCATCTGCAGGAGAGCAGGGCCCCATCACGCGTAACGGTTCCTTGGGAAGACAAACGCCATCACTCCAGATGTCCCCCCTTCCTCCTTCTTCCTCTCACCTTATATACTGAGCATGATGTCATATGGTGTGGAATATCCCTTTGGTCAGCTTGAGTCACCTATCCTGGCTGTCTCCTCCCAACCTCCCATGCACCTCCAACTTCCTTTGCCACTGTGGCAGTACAAAAAGCAGTAAAGGTCCTGGCTCTGTGTAAGCTCTACTCAGCAGTAACAAAAATATTTCTACATTATCAGCCCTGTGTTCTGCACAAATCCTAAACATAGCCCCATGACAGCCACTGTGAAGAAAGTTAACTCCACTTCAGCCCAACTAGCACAGCCAAGTTTTGAAAGGAAAGAAATACATTAAACACAGAAAACCTCCCCACACCCCCAATCCACAAAAAGCCCAGAAGTGGTAATGTGCTGCAGCATTTCAGAAATATAACATTATAATGATAGTGTTGTATATTAATTCAATCTTATCTATTTAAGTCTTCAGAAGCATTGTATGTCTTCTGGGGATGAAGCTGTATGAGAAAAAAGCAAGAATACAAAATTGGTTCTTTTGGAAAATATTTATTAACTCTGCACTTAACTTGCCTAATATATTTTGAATACTTTGTTCTTTTTGTATGTGAAAAAGAATACCTTGTTAAGGTAACACTGTCTGCTTTGAATTATAATGAGCACACAAGATGTAAAGTACCTCTTATTTAGTCTTTAGGATTTAAAATATTTATTTAATATGGTTGGGTATTTCTTTTGACTTGTCTGTACCATCTGTTTTAAAATATGTCATAAACCTGACACAGGCTTCAAGCAGTCACGAGGCTGAACAAGTGGTCCTTGTCAGAACAGATCAGAGTGGAAGGGCATGGCCTGTGACTGGCCCAGCTGAACCACAGGAGCCCAAAGGAGGACGGAGAAAGCGACAGATGGTAAGTTTTACAAATGTGAGTATTAAAGTGTAATTCTTACATGATTTTGTGGTTTTACTTTTATGATGCCATAATTAATGAGTGTCTTATCAGAATGTCAATAGGTAGTTAAAAAGTTCCTTTCAGAAAATGATTATAATTAAGTGTTAGAGTACATATTTATTAAGCATATGTGAAGTTTATTTTCAGACTGCATTTCCCTAGGGATCACTTTAGGGCTTATTTAAATGCACATTCAAGGAAAAGTAGGTTTTTCAAGTTATCACAGTCTCTTAGCCAAGTAGTTCATAAGACATAAAATTATGTAAATAATAAAGATTAGAAGGGCTGAGTATTTCCAATATTAGAAAGATTTTACTGAGATACTCAGGTCTCAGGGGCTAATTTTACTTTTCTTCCTATTAAAAATATGTCTACTTCTCATAATAATAATTATGACCTAATCTTTGTAACAAATGCTTTGGGGAACAGTGAGAAGCTTGGAGGCTGGAGCAGTGTTTTATTCTTAGGATAATTGCTTGTAACAGTAAATGTGGTAATATTTTGATCTTTTTGAGATAAGAGGAGGTGACAGTATTTCGTAGTTCTAGAAAGCATGTTCTTGATTAGTAGGACAGATCAGTTTGCAACGCTGCTATGGAGGCATGAAAAACACAAGAGGATGAGGAATTTGTTGTCATCCTCCTGTTGTTTCCATTTTGGAAAATGCCGTCTTGCTTTATGTTAATGCCCATTCCCTGTGCTCCTTTGGGATTTAGTTTAGTCCTGCCCTAAAGGACATCTCTGTTCTCTGGTGCACTCTGTCTAATGTGGCAACATTTCCCAGCAGAGGTACCATATTCACGCAAGTTTTCAGTACTGTCTGTGGTTACTATGTCTCAGTAGTGTCTGTGACTTTACAAAGGCTTTTGAATTGTCAGTAATGAAAATTACTTTTTATAGTGTTTCATTTTTCTGAGCTCATTAACTGTTTCAGTGAATTTCTATACATCTTTCCTCAGTGGCAATGTTGTAGCTCTGATACCAGAAGGATGGAGTGATTGTGGAAAGAAGCTGTATTTTTGTTTAGTCATACTGATACAATTGCAGAAAGAGAAAGATGTTCTTTTCCTTAGATAAATGAAGCAGTCAGCCCAGTTATTTCAGATGTGCTTAGCTTGATTCATGATTTTTTAGACTTGTTGAAATTAGGATTTGAATTTTATAGCTGATCTTTCTCATTGGGCTAATATTTATTTTTAATGTGTTTGTTTCCAGGTCCCTACTCATGTAGATAAAGAGAGAGTAAGGTACTTCCAGGATGATGATAGTATGAACCTGAAGGATTTGGTCAAAAATGAGAAGATGAGGACAGCAGAAGATCAAAACTCGCTGTTCATGCGTATGGCATCAAAGGTAAGGTGTCACGTGTATGGATTTTTAATTAAGCATGTCATTATTAGAATTATCAAGAAGGTCATGAGGCCTGAGTGCTCCAGATATGTTGCTTTTGGTTGAGAATTCTTAAGTAGTAAGTCTTAAGTAAGAGAAGTCTTAAGTAGTAATCAAGTCTGTTTTAAGATGATCCGGGTAGATGTTATCAAAGTGATCGAAACCTGTGTACATGCAAGATATGTGGTGTGCTCAGTTCCTCCATGGATGTGATTGTAACTGTTTCTTTGCCTGTAGAATTTGACAGCATCGAGGTGAACACTTCTAAAATGCCTTGTATATTAGTAAGTTATTTATCCCCCAACAAAGCAGGTTTTCCCCATATTAGTGATGAAGAAGATCAGCATTTTCTTAGTATTTAGAATGTCACTTCCATCTGGAAGTTACAAGAATCAATAAGTTTGAAGCAAACTACCTGAATTTCTGTCAGGATGTCCTGGATAATAATTCATGCTTACAGGCCACACAGATTTATACAACATGGTTCCATGAGTGATTCCACTTAAAAGCACCCAGCTCACAGATACTGCAGTGCAGATGGAATGATTATTTTCTGTCATCCAAATTGAGTAATAAAGGGTACTTTCTGTACTTGATATGGAATTGTTTGACAGAGATGATTTCCCATAGCTACGACATGCAGTTTCTCTAACATCCTTCAGTTTTTACTAGATTACTGGCCCAGTATTTAGTGCATCACTGAATAGGGGCTGGAAAAACTTTGCATAGAATTAGTATCATCACAGACAGAATTAGTTTTTCCATTTCTCTGGAAGGCAGACAGCAACTTGGAGAATCCGTTTTGGGTTGTTTGTTTCTTTTTTGTTTTTCAATTATGCTTCTTCAGATGGAAATTAAAATAATTGTAAAAGCCATGACAGTGTCCAGTAGAAAATATTTAGCCTGATGCTACAAACCTTCTGGCAGAAAGTTCTTCTGCAGAGATTATCAGAACTTGGTGTGGTTTATGCATCTTCTCATTCAGCTGCTTCTAGTAGAAGTTCTCATTCTCTCTCACTGCCATATTCAAAAAAATTATGCCCTTGGGCAACAGTTAAAGAAATATGTCTTGTTGCCAGGATTTGATTTCTTCTATTACCTTCCCTTCCAAAAAAACCAACCCACCTCCAAGCACACAAAACTTCAGAGCCTGTGCAGCAGTGCAAATTGTTAGCTATAATTAATTAGCATATCTGTCATGCAAACATTTACAAGTAAATAGAAAGCTAAGGACATGATAAAATTTTATACTGTTCATATCATATGATAGGAAGCATAACAGAGAGAAATGGTTGCCGTTTTCTCAAGGACCGTATTAATCTTGTATCATCTTGTCTTCATTAAGTATTTTTGTTAGGAGAGAAAACTTTCATGAAAAATAGTGCTTGGGGTGTGTATGTATGAATGTTTGTATTAAAATGTAAGCGGAATGGCATTTAAAAACAATCTTTAACTCAAATCTGGGCATTGAAGGTGAGTTTGTGATCAATATTAACATGTCTTTCTGAAGTTATTATAAATGTGCTCAGTTTGTCTTGTGTTTAGTGTGGGGTGACTTTATTGCCCTCTACAACTCCCTGAAAGGAGGTTGTAGTCAGGTGAGGGTTGATCTCTTCTCCCAGGCAACTTTAGTGGGAGTTTAAAATGAATACATAAAGGGAAAATACTTGCAGATATGATTCATGGGTGCAAACATCCTAAAGTGGTGAACACCCTCCCAAAACAGGATAAAATTTTGCTTGATTGTTTTTATTTAAAAATAAGTCCGGGGTGGGTGAACGGATGAATAAAGAGCTCCTGGAAATAAAAAAAAAAATCAGATCCGTTATTTAAAAAGTACTTCTCATGTCCAAGTAAGGAAAATGAAAAAGAGCATGAGCCTAGCAGGCTCAGAAGTCAGCTTTGATGAAAGTGGTTGAAAAATTATCTCAAGGGAGTTACTACAAGCAGTTCTTTTGAGTTTGCTAAAAAGTGCAAAAGTAGGAGTTA